TTTATCAGCCAAATGCCAGTATTTGGATGTGTGTGCATTCTTTGGTGGCTCATAGTTTGTGCGCGCCTACCTTCATAGATATTTTATGTATAGGGTATCGAAGGAGGGACTTTTCTATTTCTTTTTATTAATGTAACTGTAGACAAAGTCATACCCACTTTTAGTGGTTTCACTAATGCAGGTTTTGAAGAACTTAGCCTATTGCCGATGGGCATGGCACGTACATCCATACCATGCCCACTGTGAGTTTACTTGTTTAATTGTTTTTACACATAGATCGCTAAACTTATTACAATTACAAGTACTGCCTGTCTTGTCCGTTCACCCTTTTCATTGATTTACGAAAATATTTTGCGTTATCTTATTTTGCCATTAGTAATGTTTATAACATTATAGTAATTATAATGTTTATAATAAAAATAGCATCTGCAATATTCATAGCACTAGTAAAAAGTACATTTTTCCTACCATTTCAAGGAAAGGTGAAATCAGGTAAGGTCACAAGGTCTACTAATTGACTCTTTTGTGGCTAAGCACTAGCAGAGCCATCTATGTGCAGAGACATCTCCCAAAGATGTAAAAAAAGAGCACAGTATTTTCCCCAATTTTTTTATTCATTTTCTCTGGCGACATTGTGTTAAGTCTGTGCACCAGAAAATGTATATATGGCTGTCATATCTCAGTGTCAAGAAAACACAGTTACTTTATGTGTATGTGTGTGTAGAGAAGAAAATTAAGAATATGTAAGTGAAACAAATATAATTATTATCCTTTTGTGATCTATTGAAATAATAGAAAGCATATTTAGATACTCATAATTTTCTAGACATACGAATAATAAATAGGCAAAGATATACCATATTCTGAAATGTAAAAGTATGTGGAGCATGAGCGGGAATATAGGAATATTTTGGCTTAGTTCACTGTCTCACATACTTTTTCTGCCAATTTTTTTTGTTTCTGTAGGAACCTCCCACATGGTTTGACCCTTTTACACAGGCAGATAACTACTGCTTCTTTTTAAACAAGTATGATACCCATGTAAACAATCAAGTTGTTTCCCAGGAGTTTCACAAGTATCCTATTAGATATTACATTATTTAACCCTTTGACTTCAAGTATAATGCTGTGGTGAAGCTTCTCAGCCATGGATGGCACCACCGAATGACATTGGCTCGTCAGACAGAACTTGTCTTCCTCCAGTAGTAGCAACATCATTTGTGCCTATTTTCTATGATTTTCATAAATGTCTACCCATAGATGGCTCTGCTAGTTCCTGATTTGAAATGACGGGAAAAACGTATTTTTCGCTAGTGATTGTGTTATTTTTATCATAAACATTATAATTATTATTATGTTTTTTAACTTTAGCAGGCTGCGAAAAATCCCACGTCCGCACGTCTTTGACGAGTGTAAACTTGTGGAGGACAAGTAAAATGTTTACCTCGCTTGTCCGCATGGACGAGTAAAAATTTCCAGTAGATTTTTCCCTAAAATTAATGAAATCTAGCAAGGTCTAGTTCCTTTCAGTTCTATGATTATGGAGGCTGCCATATTTGTTTATATTAGTTTCATATATTAGTTATTTATGTTAGTTTCATATATCACAGTTGATAAATTTCTTTATAATATATATATATAAATATTTTGGACAAGTGGCATTCAGAAGAGGACGAGTGGAAAGTCAGGTGTACTTGTCCTTCTGGACAAGTGAAAAAAAAAAAAAAAAAAATTCACAGCCTGTTTAGTAACAGCAAAATAAGATAACGTTAAATATTTTGTAAATCAAAGAAAAGGGTAAACGGCCGAGACGAGCAGTACTCGTAACTGGCTCATTGGTGATTTAGTACAAGTGTTGCCATCTATGAGTAAAAACAATCAAACAAGTACTCACGGTGGGTATAGCACATCGGCATTGGGTTAAAATGAAGGGAAACCTTCAGTATTTCATGGAGGAAACTGCCACTGTGAGCTAACAATCCTACATTACTTGCTAATTTTTAATACTATGGTTAATGGGTTAAAGTAAATGTTTTATGAATTAAAGATAACCATATTGCAGAAAAAACATTCTGTGACAGTAGGTTATGTTTGCACAACCCCCTCTCTCTCTCTCTCCCTCTCCCTCTCTCTCTCTCTCTCTCTCTCTCTCTCTCTCTCTCTCTCTCTCTCTCTCTCTCTCTCTCTGTCTCATTAAAAAACAATCTAGTAGTAAAGATACTCTGAAGCACAAGATGGAGGTGGAAATTAGTCAAATGAAAATTATCACTACCATCTTCACCTCAGAGGCATTCTGCATGCATGGGATTAATAAGCAAAACACTCAAATTCATCCAGAAATTCAAAAAGAAAAAGCAGAAAAATGTTAGTGTGATAGGACCATTACAGGTCCTTTCACCAAAAATAAGAGTTTGTTCAAAGCAACCCCAGAAATATGTGTATATATGTTTTGATAGGGATAAAGCCAAATTTAGAAAGTAAGATGCCAAAAGCTGTGCACTAAAAATACTGTAGCATTGCCAAAATTCATGTCACTGTGAAAGACAGTGTTCTATCTTCAAACAAAACCCCAAAATCTGAGTGATCTCAGGGACAGGCCTTTCAATCCCTCAATCCCTTAATAACGGTATCAGAAATCATCTTGCAGTTTGGCCCAGGAGTCTGCTGTTTGTAGCAGAACTCTCTGCTTGACTCGCTCTAGGGCATCATGACACCTTATAGCTGTACCCAGCATGATGAGTCAGTTAGTTAGGACGGCTATAGATTTGCCCAGCAGACACAGGTTAATATCTCTTTGCTGGGGGGCCAAAAGCCAAAAGGGAATCTCCCAAAATAACAGACAAAACATAAATGATTATCATTTTTATGGCATTTTTAGCATTTCTCATATTATGTCCATCTTTTATCCTATAATCTCTGTGTTGTTCTTTACCCTGGATGCCAGTGATAGGCTTGTGACTCCCTTGATGTCTGGATAGTATTATGATTTTAGCTGGGAAGAGCCAGTCAGCCACATGAGTAGTGATTATGGAAATCAGTGAAATTTCATAGCTTTTGCATTATATTTAGTATCAAACTGTTTAGTATTGAAAGTCATATTTTGTATTTTATTTTATGGACATACCTATTAATGGAGGTATTGTTGACTGGTAAATCACTCTGGTATATTTTATTTTATTTTGTAAGTAATACTCTCCCTTTTCAATTAACAGAGGATCTTTGAGAATCTCAGCTTCAGAGAAGTTGCAAGACTAAGAGCAGTATGCAGGACTTGGGCAGATGTTGGAGCCAAGATACTAGAGAAACGCAGAAGACTGCACTACTTGACCATTCATCCGCACAGCATCCCCACCACAGAGGGGAAGGTGAGAGTACTCATAAGATTTGGTCCTATTTAGTCTTACGTGAGGAGGATGTCTTAAATATCTGCATACAGTTTTTCATTTATAGTGACGCCATTTCTTCACCTACTGTAATGATAAAAATAAAAATTTTATCCAGTCTGTATCTTTAATATATGTTTAATAATTTGAGGAAGAAATGGGCAGGGAATAGGTTCAGATAAGTAGATTGTACATTTTGGAAAATTAGAAGCCTCACTTTAGCAAGACTGTATTTAAACTGTAGATAACTGTCATCAAGCATGTCCATTTAGAATGTTTATAGGAAGACATTACAATATTAAGATCGTTAAAAACTCTAAAAACATTTGCTGCATCGGAAAAACTTGCATAGGCCAGCTGATAATAGCCTTGCAACATGGGGGTAGAAGTGTTAATTCAGAATTTTGTTCCTTTAATTCAGGTGACCATTGGTGAATTATCTCCAAGCAGTTTGTTTGAAGGGTTTTTTGAGCACATTGTTAGCAGACCTCGATACTGCATTGGATTCTGTAATGAAGATTGGTTGAGTCGCACTGACGTCTTCAGCAAAAAAGGAGAAAATGGTTCGTAATTTCATGTTTTCTTTATTGGTTTATCATTTAAGTGAACATTGAACAATATTGTACTTCTCAGTTTGAAAATTAGAAATTGAGGTGATTATTTTAAGATATTAATAGAATGTGAATAGAGAAATGCAGGCTATAGAAATTGAAAGCAAATATATAACTGTTCTTGATTTTACTTTCTTTATTTTTGTGTAATGATGTATTAATAGTTTAAAAAAACTTTTCTTATTGTCAAATTGTTTGCTTATATTCTTTTTAGCTTTGCTTTTGACATACTGCAATAGATTCTAATACACATTGATTATAGACTTTAGATTTTTCTTGTAGTGACTTTTGACTGATGCCAAATTACCTCAACAGGAAAACTCACCCTTGCTCAGTACCTTCAAGGATCTCTTCCCAAGACGTGTGAATTTGGACTGTTTTCAGCCACAGGGATCATTGGCACTGTTGAAAACAATTATCAAGGACATTGGTTAGAATCAGCTAACAACCTCAATCACATAATTCTCTCCTTTCTGCACGATGAAGAGAAAGATGGGCAAAAGGCCAAAAGAAGCTGCCGGCGTCATAGCAATGAAGAGATTCAGGCCAGGGAAGACCTCGCAGAATTGGCATCCCCCGCTGTGTCTGACCAGAGTGCTAGTGCTTCCTCCGATATCTCAAGTCAGGCCTCAGCAGCTAGTGCCAAGGAGGAGGCTAATGTTAAAAGGTCCCGGGTTGGTTACAGCATTGAAGTAGAGGCTAGATGGAGCACGTCATTGCGACAAGCAGATGCTGTGTCTTTACTTTTGATACCACACCATCCAGGGGTGAAGTTGAAGTTCTTTAGCATCAGCATGGAGAGCTTTTTAAAGAGATTTGTAAGTATGATTATCGCTCTGATTTAGTAACATTGTAGAATATAGCTTACAATATTATAGAAGCTTAAAATGGTTGCTCAAAGGGTATTGTACTAGCACTGGTGCAGTTATGTGTCCTTTTATAGGTTCTAAATACATTTACACTTACATTATCTCTGCTTTTCCTTTCAGCTTTATTTATTTTTGTAGTATGATAATTTGACACTTCTAAATTTACTGAATATTGACATGCTTTATTTGATACTGTTAGTCTTAGTTCTCCAGAATTGTGATATGAGCTAAGTTCTGGTTCAGTGGTGTCAGGTTGTTTCCAACAAGCCTTTTTTTATACTTATTTGTGTTTATTTTAAATGCTATGGAAATTATTTACAAAATCATTACAGAGGGTATCACCAACATCCTTGCAATTTTTGAAATGTAGTCATTTTTATTTCAGCGCTCAGGAAGAGCATTGAATGACGTGACAGTATCTCCTGAAGAGTTCAACAAAATGACAAGTATGACACCTGAAGATGACCTGAAAGCTCTTCTCCTGTTTGATCTTGGTGCAGATGAGGAGACATTCACAGATGCCTTTTTGCAGGCAGCCCTTGAAAGGTAACAAGTTTTGCAACTGGTAGTAATTTCTTTTGATATTTAGTAATGCCTCTACCTGTTTCCTTTCGAAACAGGTGTTTGTATTTTTACCATTGTCTTGTCCATAATCATCAGTCTTGTCTTTCCCTTCACTGGCTTGGCTTCATCTCCTCTCTTCCACGTAAAGCCAACCTGTGTCTTAATGCAGTAAAGGGGGTAAGCACGACCCATGTGAATGAGGCCTCCACAACAGCCGGGGGGTCATTCCATCCTCCCCCGGCCCAAATCAGTTACCCCCATGCTCTTTCCCATGACTCTGTGTAGCTGATCATAAATACTAGCACAGAATATGTGTAATCAACTTTTAAACTTTTTATTCAGCCAAATACTATATTTTACTATTAAACCTCAAAAGAGTGTAGTATGCCTAGAGAAAAGAGGGAGAGTGAAGAAGGAGGCACTGTTGTGGGTATTGGAATTGGAATGTTATTTAAGGTCAGATAATTGAAGTAATAGATATTATAGTCAGATTACAGAAGTCTAGGCTGGAAATTCTATAAAACATTCCTGCATTCAACTTTTGGCTGGAAATCCACACTAGTGATGGACCAAATATTCACTTTCACATTTTCAGCTTTGGAAATTTGCTTTGCTTTTCTTCTTCTTCTTTTCTTCTTCTTCTTCTTCTTCTCCTCTCCTCTCTCTCTCTCTCTCTCTCTCTCTCTCTCTCTCTCTCTCTCTCTCTCTCTCTCTCTCTCTCTCTCTCTCTCTCTCTCTCTCTCTCTCCCTTTCCCTCTCCCTCTCCCTCTCCCTCCCCCTCCCTCTGTCCCTCTCTCCCTCCCTCCTTTCTTTCTTTCTTTCTTTCTTTCTTATTTCTTGTATTCAATTCACTTTCACATCCCCCCCTCCCCTCATTTGCAAATATTTTCCATAACTTATTTAAAGAGAGAAATGACCCTGCATACATTTCTTCACCTACTGTAATGATAAAAATAAAAATTTTACCCTGAACGTTATTGGCAACGACCAGATTTTGGGCACGGGAGTCCATTACATCAAGCCAAACGTCCCACTTCAAGCGCTTGAGGAATTTACATGCACTCCTTTATAGATATCGATATCATGATTACTTTACAACAAGAATTTTTTTAATAGGTAGATTACACACAATTCCATTTCAATTTTACTGTCAAATGTAAGTTTTGAGATAAAGGGATTTTTCATGTTCAGCGTTACTGTTCACCACAGATTTTTTCAGACTAGTAAAAGATTGTAGCATGTACTGACAGGAATTTTTGACTATCCTTGGGAGACAAATGAGCAAGATCAGTTCATGGTCAGGTCACTTGAGGTCACCTTAGTTAACCAAAGATGGCCACAGGGGAACTGGGACTTTTTCACCTACTCAGCCTATTCAAACTTTAAGGCTCCTGGACCCCTGTTGCGTCCAGTGTCTATATGAAAACATCAAAAATGGCTGATCTACATTTATGTTTGTGTGTACATCTCTCTAAACTTGAGCACGGGAGTTCAGTACATCAAGCCTAATCATCAGCTCATAGGACTTTGGAGCACCGCCGCGGCGTACAGCCACACACTACAGATCGAGCGGTTTGTTTTGACACCTCACTACATGACCCGTTGGGAAGGGGTTAAATCTTGCAACAGATATCAACACTAACAACAGACTTCATTTCATGTTCAGCTAACACATTGTGTATGAATGCAGCTGATGTTACTATTACATCACGATAACAGGCTTTCCTCCTTTTCCCACCTCTTGGCAAGTGCTTGCACTGCCTGCAAAAGTCTCTTTTGCTATTGCTAGTACAGGGCATTTCACTGGTTATAAAAATAATAATAAAAAAAAAGCCTGCCATAAACTAACTGTCCCTGCCACATACCTTCTCCTCCCTGGTTCAACCACAAAACTCCACTTTAGCTGCCATACAGCAATAGCTGAATGTAAATTAGACAAAAATCTATTTTAAGAAAATGAAATACAACAAATATAAGGCATGCTGTAAAACCAAGGGAATTCAGATGGGTTGGGTGGTTTAAATACCCGGCCCTTTAAATGAGAAGGACCACGGGATGTTCTTGGCAATGTCTGATTTTGGTTGCAGAATTTGTACAATTTTTTTTTCAAAGTTTTGAATATGGAAAATTGATTGAATTTGAATATTCATGGTTCACAACTAAATTTAAAGTCTTCTTTGTTATATTTTAGATATCTATGGTATTGCCATTATATTTTGATATCTTATCCAGTTTGTATCTTTGTTGTCTGTGTAATTAATGTAAAAATTGGCATGTGCATGTAGGACAGTAGACATTATTTAAACTACACATTGCAATCATCAAGCATGTCCGTTTAACCTAATGGCGCCGGGTATATAAAACAAAGAAAAAACTCTACACTCTAGCAAACAATGGCGGCGCGCCGACTTTGAGTGCGTGAGTAGGGGACATCAGCCTGAATCACTTGCTCACCGCAGCGTACAGCCGTACGCCACCTTTCGAGCGGTTTGTTTTCACACTGATCGGCATCACCCGGTGTTAAGGGGTTAAAATCCTTAATAGGAAGATATTACAATAGTAAGGTTTTTTAAATATTATTTGTGAATATTAATCCTTCATTGCTGGGTGTCTCACGGAATGTGGTCCATTTCTGGATGTCACATGTAAGACTTTCGTTCTTGGTGTTTGAGGGGTATAATTTATGGACCTCAATAATATCCATCATGTTTAAATGGATATTTCCAAGACAATTTCCATTTGTACACAACCATGATGAGGTCATATAAAAAATGAAGTCATTAGTAGTTCCATTTGCCTGCAATTGACATCATATTAGGATGGAGGGTGTGGGGAAATTATGAGGAGAGGGAAACTGAAAGACAGACAGAAAAACAAAATGAACATTTAAACAAAAGCTGAATTTGAGGAGGGAGGAAGGGAGACAGAAACACAGACAGATAGACAGAAAGGCAGGTAGGTAGGCAGATGGAGTGACATCATAAAGTTTTACATCACAAAGTGATATTAGTAACGCCATAAAGCTGAGAAAGTGAGGTCATGAAGCTGAGGAAGTGGCATCACAAAGTAATGTAAGTGACATCATCCAAAATGTCATAGAAAGAAGTGAGGTCACTTTATGCTTTGATTAGGTCGTCCATGGTGAGCCTCACACATGGGTCACCAACATTGGCCATTAGCTACTATAGATAACACATGGAAAGGTGTGTGTATGGCACTCCAAGGGAACAAAGCAAAAAAATTTAATTTGTGAATGTAGAAAATATACATTCGTTCCATTTCTAGTCTACAAACATATATGCAAAAGCATGTATTTGTTATAGCACCACCATCCTGCATTTTTAAAATTCTTTCTCCTTCAGTTTCTTTCAGTGCGTTATGAAACTCCACTCAAGAGTGATACATGAAAGTCGTTGACTACTTTAAATTATTAGGTTTATTTGAATGGCGATTATCCTTGGTGTGTGGCTTTAGACCCAGACCACACACACACTTACACAAGGTATGAAAATTCCTTGCCTCGTGTTTCCATTTGTTGGGCTATATCTTTGTCATTAGATATATTGTATCAAAATGGTAATATACTATGTAAATGCACAGGAATTGGTCCTCTCTGGAGACAGCCCTTTCCCAGGCATCGCTACATTCCACCCTTGTGGACCTATGAAAATCCTGTAGGGTTAAGCCCCAATGAATCAGACTCCCTCCAAGTACTTTGTGCACTCATGATAACACATCCCAGTCATCTTTCACAGAGCGCCAGTTTCCCATGGCAATATTTTCCAGTCACATGCCCCTCAGCCAAATTTTTTTTCTTGACAAGATGTCTCCATCACCCAGATCCATTGGGTTAACCACAAAGAACTACAGTGAACTTGTCTCTGATTGGGGAAGATTGAGACAGCTGGCCACTCAGACCCACCTATCATCTGGATGTTATATTCAGCAACTATCCTGGACTTGACCATCTCACTTCTGTAAACAAGTGACAGCATTGTGATACCATTGAAGGTACTATGTATCCATTGGACTCCACAGTTTTACAGACTTTAATCTGCTGGTCTCTTTTCATGTACTTGCCCTTGAACTACACCATACAGCTGTAGCTTATGATAAAGCCAACCAAGTATGAAGCTCATAACTTCTACCAAGCATGCCTCTATTGCCCATCAGGTGATAGCCTTCAGGGATGAAGGATGGTCACCCTTAAATTAACCCAGGCATATTCTAAAGGTGCTAACACAGCCATAGTTTGGACCATTACTGACAGCATGCTTGTATACTTGATACAAGAGCATGCCTGCTTATCAGGGATATAAACCATAGCCCCCCAAAATCCCCAGAATCTCTACAGATACCCTACGAGGAGGACTGTATAATAACTGAACATAAATTAACTGTCAATTATTTGTTTCAACTTTCATGGGCAGGCACCATCAGGATGACTCCTATTGTTGACTTCCTCCTCATGGAGGTATCAAATCAGTAAATCAAACCTTTCCCTCATCATGACGAAAGCTCATAAGAACCTTGCAGATGCAGAGGCAAAAATAAATAAAGACAGCAAGGTAAGAAGTGATGAACCTAAAGAAAGAATCAAAATCACGTTTACAGTACACAGACATAAGAGGGGGAAAATCACATTGAATTTAACCCCTTCAGAACGGGTGATGCTTGTAGGCATAAAAACAAACCACTCAAAATGTGGCGCGTGGCTGTTCGCTGCGGCAGCGCGCCAAAGCGAAGCGAACCAGTGATTCGGCATGATGTACCGAACTCCCGCGCTCAAAGTCGGCGTGCTGCTATTGATAATTTTTATTATTATTAGTGTTAGTGGTATTAGTATTTTAATGATGATTTCTTTCATCAGACAGAACTATCAACTGGCAATTGGAGGAGGAGTAGTTGAGAGTCTGCAGTGTGGAGAGAAGAACAATGGTGAACTCACTAGTCTAGGAGTTGCTATTAGTGGACCAAACGTCATGGCAGCTTCAGTTGTCATTTCAAAATATGTTAGCAGTCCCAAGGGACTAGAGTCATACATGAAGCAGGTAAGACTGTGGATTTTGAAAAAAAGTTAGATAATTTTTTTTTTTTTTTTTTTTTTTTTTTTTTTTTTTTTTTTTTTTTTTTTTTTTTGTGGTTTCCTCTATATTATATAGATTTTTTTTATTGCAATATATATATAATTTTGTGTGTGTGTATGTGTGTGTGTTTACACGTAAATGCATGTGAGTGTGCGTGCATGTGAAGATATATAAATGTGATTATAACCAATATAAACATTTAAGAAATGTATATCTGTTGATAGAGGAAACAACAGTTAGGCAATATATGTATATATATTTATGTATATAAGCATGTACATTTGCATATATTAATTTATCTGAATATTCATCTAAGATTATTTATATATTATTAGCTATAGATAATGGTGTTTCTTTTGGCCAACAGCTTAAATCTTGTGGACTCCCAGAGGATCAGAGTTTAGCATTTATGTTCACATGTTGTGGCCGTGGTTACTCATGGTATCGGAGACGAGGCAATCCGTGGTTCGACTATCACAACGTTGAGACCAAGGCCTTCAGACAAGCCTTTCCAAACACGCCTATCTTCGGCTTCTTCGGAGGAGGAGAGATTGGGCTGTGTAACTTCCCAAAATTTAATAGCACAGAAGCAGATGAGGACATGGGTGTTAGATACAAGAAGCGCAAGAAGAAAAAATTATTCCATCAGTTCTCTACAATTATCGTTCTTTTATCATTTTTGTGATAATCTTAATTACATAGGTTTCATGTGCATTATGTGAGAAGAATGAGCATTTTTAATCTTTATATTGTGTAGAATGTTCTGTAAAATGTCTTGGCTAATGAACAAGAAAGAACAGGAGTGATAGTAAAAACAATTGTCATGTTAAACTGCTGCCAAGGTAATTTATCATGATAAGATATGGTATCTGTGGGATAAAGTATTAAGTGGGAAGAGTATGTTTTTCATTTTATATATTTATATTAGAGTATTACATGATTGGTCTTTTAGTCCTTTTGGAAAACTGCTTAATATTTTCTCATAACTTTAATTTGAATGTCAGTATAAATATGTATCTATTATTTAAAAAATTGTATATTACCAAGCTGTAAATTAATTAGGCATAAGGGTATGAATGGGTATTCAAATACAGATAATAATAGAATATATGGTATATGTAGATGTAAAGATATCATAATCTATTTTGATACTCCTTTTTAATAAATTCTTCCATTCAGAATTAGCTGCATGAAGTTTATCAGAGAACTAAAGTTCATTCCATTGTGAAGTTTGTTTGTTTTTCTTTAGCTTTTCTCCTTGTGTGTGTGTGTGTTTGTGCGTGCCCATATTTGCATGGATGTGTGAAAGTTGCATGAAAGATCTTTTTAAAAGGGAGTTTCAAGTGATACATTTTGATTTAAAATATGTCAGAATGTAATTTTCTTTGTAAAGCAGAGTACTTCATTAAAGATAGATTACATTTTACTTTGATTATTGAGTTGTAACCACTATTAGCAGTCTGAGTTTAAGGTCACTGTTATCAAGTACTGTAAAAAGTACTCTCTAGATTTGTTATTCCCTTTTATTATAAGCACATCTATTTTTCGCTTTTATTTACCAGCAGGATGACCAAAAGGATTTATAAGTGTTAAAATAGTTTTGCCTAACCTATTTACAGCTATGACAAAAATAACTGAACTGTATTTTCTTCAATTTCAGTCAAGAAATTAACCTGTGTTCCATTTATATACAGAAAGATAAATAGTTACAACTACTACCTATTCCAATGCTGATATGGTTGATAATGCTTGTGAAGTAGTTCTTACAAAATTAAGAACATTTCATCCCTTGGCAGTGTGTTTGGGGGTTAATCTAGCAAACTGGAGAGTCATAAATTAAATTTGCTTTGATATTTTAAAACCAATGATTGAGTTATACAGAAGTGTATAAACTAATACAGGCAAACCCTCAACGTGTCTTGTAAATCTGATAAAGAAGGCTAGGAAGGCAATCACTGTAATAAGACAAATAAAGGAAATGCTTTACAGGCTAGTTTTGATAAGCCAATCGTCTCACCACATTAAACCATTTCATCACTGTTGCAGAGCAAGTTAAAAGTTGAGATAATACAAAGTAGCATGAAAGGTTCTAGAGTTTCTTTCATGTCAAGTTTTCCAGAACATGCATACATATTTGCACACACTGTATGTGTGTGTGTTTGTATGTGATCTACACCTGTGAATGCATGCAGTATTTTGTGACATATGTGTATATATATTAATCTGACCTTCGGAATCACTTTTCATTCTGGACAGAGAAGGTCAAAATTTTCTTTTAAGTTTTTGATCTACAAATCATCCTAGTTTAACAATCTAGGGGACTATAGTATTTACTATAAGTTATTTGAAAACATTTACATGAATTACATGCAGGAGACAGTAAGCCTTGCTCCTTTTTATTCTCCTGCATAGAATAAATGAGCAGAAAACTGAAGAAAACTTAATCTACAATGTTGATTTTGTACAGGTTCACTGCCAAAGTTTTTTTGCTCTTCACCATTACCCCCAATACCCCCTAATCCCTTGCTATCACTATATTTTGAATACACTGCTAATGACCTTAGATGTTGATGCAACAGAAAATTTTCAATAAATAAAATATCCCTCCAATCCCTTGCCCATCATCATAGTGGGGGGGGGGCTTAGGAGATGGAGACTGAGACCTAGTGCTAGAGATCTCCCCTGCCTTGTGCCACATCGCTGGACTCAAGTAATCTTTTTCCTCTTTTCATTTCCTCTTCTCCAACCCCTTCTACTCTCCATTTCCTAAGGAGTGAGATCCGTGTTGAAAGGATGAAAGATTGACTTTGTGCCAGTACTGAACAGGGGTACCCTGTGGGGTGGACTGTTTCTCTCCCCACCATATTCTCGACTTACCATGGCCAGTATTGAAGACTTAATACCTTTATTATCAAATAGCCCCACTGATTCAAATTCTCTTGGTTCCCCGACCCCAGGTTCTCATTTGACCATGACTCTGAACACTGCTACTACTATCACAACATCCACCCAGGTCAACACTCAACTTCCAGGAGACATTCCTCCTCTCCCAATATTCTCAACTTCATCCTCTCTACCCCCACAACTTTCTTCATCAACTACCCAACCCTCCCTTATTACTACTCAACAGCCTTGTTGTCCACCTCTCTGCAATACTACCTCACTCAACAATAATCCCTCTTCCACACGTCCACGTCCTTCTACTACCCCCACCTCTTCAGACATCTTAACCCATTCGCAATGGGTAAAAATGAACAAAAAATGGGGAAAATGATATGTTAATTTTTTCTACTTTTTGTGAAATGTCTCTACACATAGATGGCTCTGCCTTACCTGATTTCATTTGGCGGAAAATGTATTTTTTACTAGGGCTATGAATATCGATGGTTATTTTTATTATAAACATTATAATTACTATAATGTTATAAACATTAGTAACAGCGAAATAAGATAACGTAAAATATTTTCGTAAATTAAAAAAAAAAGTAAACGGGCAAGACAGGCAGTACAAGTACAAGTGTAGCCATCTATGTGTAAAAACAATTAAACAAGTAAACTCACAGTGGGCATGTCACGTATACATGACACTCGGCCCGAATGGGTTAAGTACTCTATTCAGCCCAGCCAAATGGGATTGATTTTTAATGCCCCCCCCCCCCCACAGCTCCTTACTCTGACAACACACTCCTCTTTCAGCAATGTCTCCAAAAACTAGCTGGCAAAGTTTCCTTCCTCAGCCACTCCAATCATTCCCGTCTCGTCACAGTTACATCCGAAACCCATTATCAACTCTGACAGATTTCACTGGCAAACCCATTCCTGCAGATGCTCATCGCACCCTCAATACTTGTATTGAAACTGTCTATGTCTATGACAAAAGTTGGTAAGATTGTGGAGAATATTTACTCGCAAACCTCATAGACTAATATAGTATCAAATACAACATTCCCCCTAGAGGCCGTCATAAGAACCTCACCAACATTGCCAAGATTACTTTCAGTAGACACTACCTCTCTTTTAATGTTTACATTGGCAGAGAATCCCTCCTTGTCCAATCATATCAACCCCCACCCCCCCATCAGTGTCAGCTCCTTCCCCTTCAAATTCTCCAACAGGCACTGTTATCACTCATATATCAACTTCATAATAGCTCTTCTATACTGGAATATTTGTGGTTTCCCTTCTCACAGACATGTCCTTCACCATATCCTGTCTTTCCCATCCAAGTCGCTAATTAATTGGGTGACTATTTCATCTAGGTCAGTAATGGCTCTCACCTAATCTCCACATTTCTCTTCCATACAGACCATCAGAGAACATACCCCTCACCTTCATTCTGCTGAGTCCAATAATGCTCCCTTTTCTTCCTTTGAAGTTCACACTACCCTACAGTTGTGCCACAACACCCATGAAGGCAATGATGGCATTCATTACATTATGTTCTGACACCTTCCATCTTCCTCTCTATCCTTCCTATTAACTGTTTTCAACCACAAATGGACGAAGCCCTTTTTGAAGCCCAATAAATCGGATACTCTCCCTCAAGATTACCGCCCCATCGCTCCACCTGCTTGTGCAAACTACTAGAATAAATGCTTAACTTCCGCTTAATGTGACATCTTGAATCTCACAATCTCTCCTTCCCACTTTGGTTTCCCCTGTGCCTGAAGTACAGAAAGTCCCCAACTTATGAACATAATGGGGACCGAGAGGCTGTCCGTAACTTCATTTGTTCATGTATCCAAAGTCGGGTCTCCATTGCCTTTTTTCCCATTGTTTTAAACTTTTGTTTACATTAAGAATACCTGTACATAAATCCCAATTAGTATTTTTGAGGGATTGATGCACAGGGAAAGCGAATCATAGCACAAAAATTGGCTGTACACGAGGACACAGTGAACAGATGCTTTCGTGTTTATGGCGGAAGGGCAGGCGACTGAGGCGAGTGATGCGCACAGTTGAGTGAGCACCATGGCGTGGTAGACTCGTGAACTATATTCATGCCCTGGAAATATGAGGTTTGCTAGCATCTTTCAAAAAAATATTTGGACTTAAGTATTTAAAAAAAAAATTTTGTATGAATGAAATGTTCGTAAGTAGAATGTTCGTAAGTAGGGGACTTACTGTACAGTTGACGCCCTTGCTCTTTTTGAGACATATTACATCCGCATTTGCACGCATATGATACCACATGGTGGTACCATATTTTCCAACAGTTGTCCTCCCTATGCTATGCAGAAACAAGGGTATCTTTATAAAGTCCTCCCTCTCCAAATGCACTTTTCAGGTCAAAATTGCCTCTTCCACATCATCCTTTCCTCAGTTCAAAGGCATCCCGCAAGGTAGTGTGCTCAGCACCACCTTATTTCTTCTTGCTGTTAATGGCACTGCTTCAGTTCTACCACCAGGGGCCCGGCCATTACTAGAAGTTGATGATTTAACCATCTTCACCTCTGGCCTATCCATACCTACTATCTGCCAATTCCTCCAGCCCGCAATATCACCATTATCTTCCTGGGCCACTAACCATATTTTTCACTTCTCTGCCTCCAAATCTTTCTCCATCCTTTTTTCTCGTGCACATGTAGGTCTCCAACGCCCATTCTTCTTATTATATGGCGCTCCACTCCAATACCATTCCTTTAGCCAATTCCTTGGTGTTATTTTTTACTCCAAATTGTCCATTAAAGATCGTAAAACCCTATATATTATACAGAGAGAGAGCGACATTTATACATACATATATACTATATATATATATATATATATATATATATATATATATATATATATATATATATATATATATATATATATATATATATATATATATATATATATACACACACATATGTGGGTGTGGGTGTGTGTGTGAGTGTGCGTGTGCATCTGCATATGTAAATGTGTATGAAGAGGCAGGCTGTTCTATAGTATGGATCTCAGTACATCTGACTGACAGAGATGAGGATAAAAGGAAAGGACATGAGGACTTTATATCATTTATGTATTACATTACACCAGTACAGATTTTAGGATTTTATTCAGATATATTACCACTAATAACAGTATCATATCATATGGTAGATATTGAGAGGGAATTTCATTCTTATTTGACTGGTTCACAGTAACCTAGCCAACATTACCCCACCTCCCTTCATGGTGTTACATGATTTTTTAAGAACTAATCTTACTTGGACTTTTTCCTATTAATGGTCTTCTCTAAAGAAATAAATAAAAGCTGATACCATTGTCTTCCCTATAAAAATATCAGTCTCACAAACAACCCAGTATGACCAGCAAAGGCAATTCATATTCAGTATAGTGCATTAATAATATATGTGTTTATATCTTCTATCTATATGTTTGTGTATATATATATATATATATATATATATATATATATATATATATATATATATATATATATATATATATATATAATATATATATATAATATATATATATATATATATATATATATAATATATATATATACATATAATGTATATATGTATATATGTATGTTTATATATTATATTTATATTTATATATATATATATATATATATATATATATATATATATATATATATATATATACGTATATACGTATATACGTATATACGTATATACGTATATACGTATATACGTACATACGTACATACGTACATACGTACATACGTACATACGTACATATGTATATACGTATATACGTATATACGTATATACGTATATATGTTTATATGTATATATATATGTGTATATGTATATATGTATATATAATGTATGTATATATAATGTATGTATATATGTATATATATATAATGTATGTATATATGTATATATATATATATATATATATATTTTCTTTATGTATATATACATATAAATACACGTGTGTATGGTGTGCATATTTTTGTAAATGTAAACATGTAGATACATTTCATATACATCTTATATATATATATATATATATATATATATATA